GCTAAATACTGAGAAGTTAGGGAAACTGTTTACCCATTTTTTATGACGCCTCGTACCCCTACCAAGAAAGCGGTATAACATGCAGGCCCAGGGGGTTATCGACACGCTGCCCGCGGACCGCGTACGGCCTTCCTATCTGTTTCGCGCGGCCCGACTACATTTATATTGTAATATTCTGTCGCCTTAAATAACGAAACACGATTTTTAATGTAGTCGGTATTTAGCGGTAACTATCGCAGTGAGCGACTGTTTATCTTAATAAAGGACGCCAATTAATAAAGAATTGTGACTCGTTTTCCTGATGAACATTTGGACGGGTTCATGTGAATCATAGCAACAGAAATTAGTGAAATTGTTTATTGAAAATTGTAGCTATGAAGTCAACTGGATGCTGTTTAGTAGGTTAAAGAATCAGGTCATTGCAGTGAATTTCTATAAATGATTAATAATTACATCAAACTAGTATGTACTGGCCAGGTAAGAAAAATTACAACGATTAAGGGGGATTAGCGCTGTTATTTATCCTGTACCACGATAAAACGTGTTTTATCGTGGTTTTGCAGAATTTCTGTGAATTTTCGAATCTTTTTCTGTGTGTCAAGGTACTGAATGTCGACATTTACACGTAATATACTACAGGCTTTGGTTGCTGGTAAATCCGCACATTCAATTCGTGTCCAGAGTACCAGAGCTCACCGCCTGAAGCCGACAGGATTACGAAGAGCAGAACTTAGCTTTGTTGGTTCGCAATGATTTAGGATCTGAGCGCAAAAGTACCTTAAGTTAGGTATCAGACTTGTGGTATAAATCTGAAATCAGCACTGAGAGAGGGGTAGATAAAGTAACCATTTATTTGGTGCGTGGATGGTTTATTGCAATAGAAGTTAAAGTTGTTACTCTTTTGTGAGTTTGAGTCTTAGATTTACGCTTTTCTATTCATTGAATTTGAAGTTCATTTATGTACCGTCCCTCCCTCCAATTCGAACACTTAACTTCGAATTTGTATTACAAGCGACTTAATTCTGCAATTACTTTGTATGTGTGAAATTGTGGTCTCTCTCATTTAAAGGGGGAGAGGGCACAGATCTCGAGTGTCTCAGAACAGGGAGATGAGGAGATCAAAACTGTCTGACAAACAGGAAGTAACAAAAGTCCGAAAACTGTAAAATTACTTTCATGGGCCTAATTTTTACCTTTTTCCAATAACTAAGGTGATAAAATAAAGGAATAAACAGGAGGGCATGTAGAACGCACTCGTGAAGCATGAGAAAGGAAGACATGCGTTTGGTCGGGAAACCCTAAAGGAACAGACCACTTGTGAGAGGCGTGGATGGGAGGATAATATTAAAATTGATGGAATAGAAGCAGGATATAATCGTACGGACTTGATTCTTCTACCTCGGGACAGGTGCCTGTGGCCGATTCCACAAAGGCGGGAGAATTTCTTGACGAGCTGAGCAACTATTTATTTTTCAAGGTCTCATTTTCGTGCTGTAACTTAGAGAACATTAAAATGTTGTCTTCAATTCTTAATTTTTCTAATCCTGAACAAAATTAAAAAAAAGCTTCTTCGTGAGAACGTTCGAAAGATTTGGATAGCGCTCAGTTTCTTGGAAGACGGTTTCCTTTCCCATTTTGCCTGTTGTGTGTGTGTTGTTGTTCTTTTATTTTTTGAACACAACTGTAGCGTTCGTTCATCTCAATTAAAACAGCGAATATATCAGCGAAGTAAGAAGGGTGAGCAACACACACAGCCCCTGTATCCAAAGCCACCCTCAATCTCTGTCCACACAACAGCAAAGTACAGTATCAGCTTATTCGTTTATATGGTTTCCTCTTCTCTGAACTTCTCTTATCGCTGCGGAAAGTGATTTTGTTCTCTCAGACTCTCACAGTAAGCAATTTATTTCTTTCCTTCCTGTTGTAATCAAGGAACCTATTTTCACCCCCTGCTTCTCCTCTTCTTTTCCTTCTTCAATGAAATCGTTTCGATTCCATTCTGTCTAGTTCTTATCGGCTGCTTCGTGGTTCAGGGCCGAGAAATCACAAAATTACAATGCGAGTCACGTGATACCAAAATTCACGAAATGAGGTATAAGACGGTAGGCTACAATGTATTAGTCTACCTGTTTATCTAAAGAATTTGCCGCAAATGCCCTTAATTAAAATTAGTATTTACTTCTGTCGAAATCCCCAGTTCGTAAAAATAATCCTAAATGGAATTACAGTGCACTATTTGAGGTTCTCACTGTAATGCCTCCATCATCGCCCTGATGATCGAGGCAGCAAGGACCTCTTTAAAGTTGGTCAACTTCCACCAGATTACACGGCACTATAACTCAGAAAACAGCCATATTAGGAATTATAATGCTTTAATAATTGAGTATTTCAAGTCATTATTTAAATTCCTAGGTAGAATATATTTGCCTGTGCAATGTCCGCCTCAACCTGATAGGTGTATCTTCTCAGTTATTAATCACTTCGTAATAACATTTTAACATGATTGCTTAAAATTCCCAAAGCAAGGAAAATGCAGTTTTATTCTACCCTAACATTATATGAATGCAACTTTCTTTTCGCAAAGTTTCTAGCAATTCACAAGTCTCACTACCTCGAATTGTTATAATTCAGATATTAGATCGATTAGTATATTTTAAAGTTATTACTTTGCTTTTATGGTATCTAGAAAACTTATAACTCCATCGGTAAGTCATCTTGAGAATTGGAAGTTGTCGCTAATTCCACTTCTGTCCTAGGCAGGAACTATAACACACAGTGTTTAACGTCGTTGTCAAAGGGGCTTAGATACATGGCTCAGTTAATTCATTGAAAGAGCTTAACGTCTTAAAGTGGTCATAATAAGCGTGGACTATGGTCAGCTGTAGGAAGGAGGGGTTACTATTATGAAGTCTCTCGTTTCCGAGGCGCTGCCGGCTGGACAGTAATAGACCGGAAGTTGTTACTGGACCCAAGGGAAATCCGGGGCTCATTTCCCGCCAATCAACTATTAGATCTCCACTAACATATATATCTTCCCTGCGTCCAGTCAACTGTGCTGAAAACGTTAGCGGCACAAGGGATAGTACACCCCTGCTGAAGAATTGTGTTTAGAGTGCACTGTGCGACATCGAAGCAGCGTTAATTTTCTTAAATAGTACAGTGACATTTTAGGGTCACCCCTCACAGACTTTTCCATCTTATTTCCATAGTAATGAGAAGTCTGAAGCTCCAATTTAATGTTATTTGAGTTTGACGGGCTGGTGTTATAATAAACTAATCCTTTCATCAGGAGCAATTGATAATTAACTATAAGTTGGTTTATGAGACAATTATGTGCTTTCAGTCATTAATGATTCTAGGTAAAAGACTGATGTGATAACTAATATCGTTTCGTTTCGTGTAGTTTCTACATATAAGATGCTTTCACATAGGCTACCAAATAATTTTAATCATATTACTTGTTCTATTACATGAATATAAGTGTTTCGTCTTTATCAAGCCATCGTCAGTGTTTTAGTCTAAAATGTCATATTTGGTTCGATCTCCTTGCACCCTTATTAACCCCCATTTTGAAAATATATAAATGTTTTAAAGAATTTAAAAATCATTACAATTTTCAAATATATTAATTTGTAAAAAAAGTAATTTGTTTACTGTTTACTAAAATTAATACTGCTGTTGTTCAGTCTTGCCTCATTTCACTCGCTGTCCTTCTAAAACGTTGTATTCCACTGTCCTGTAATTTGCTGCGTTATATCACATCAACTTCTGTTCCATTTCGGACTACGAACTGCTATCGTTGTAATATTCCCAGTTCTATCAACACCACTTCTTCTGTTACGCATTATTATAAGATTCTTATTCTTTCGCAAAAATAATTCATTATAATATCATTACACTTATCTCTACTGACATGATATTCGCGCACTAATTCGTTAGTGCAAGAGTCTGTTTTATATAGCCTATATTTAAGGATAAAAACATTTATGTTTTTTTTGTGGAAAAGTTGCCAGGGTTATTTCGTACAGCAGTTTAGCTTAGTATGTCCGCGCGCACCCAGAGACCAGCATGAGAGACCAGCTTTGTTAATTTGACCACCGCAAGTGTTCAAAGCCTGCACACTTCGGTAACAAGGGCCACGTGTCACTCACATGTTACCACTTACCAGATTCTTTACTGCAACCGGCCCGACATCCAGCTGTTGAGCAGTATCAGACACATTTACCATTAATTAGATCACCTTGAGATATCCTGCCCTAGTGGATGAGTAATGCAACAGTAATCGAATTTCAAAATTCTGGAAAGTGAATTATATCGAATCCCTTCATTTCTTCTAAACCACTCTTCCAAAAAGAAAAGAAAAATGTTCACTGATGGTGTAATCGTTGACACCGTACATTCATGAGACCCCTAGTTTGATCCTCGTGTATTACACAGATGGTTTCCTTCAGATGATACAGATGTTTGTTGCTCCCCACATCCTCTGGTCTTTACTATTTATTTTAGGCATAGAGACCACAATTTAATTAATTTTTACACGATTCTTTCAGTGTTCATGACGTCTTTAAGTAGGCCTATAACATAAGTAAAATAAGTTTCTTTGTATTCTGTCAACAAATTGAATGCAACTAGTTTCATATTTCAAAATTATTTTATAGATACTGTTATTTTTAATTTGTATGTTTAAATTTTCGTTCAATAGGCCTATATGCTAATTAATTTATTCAGTTTACGAGCTATTAACCGACTATTCGTTATGGGGAAACAATAAGTTATTAATAGTGAAATACCTGGGCAGAATTTTTCGTGATTGATGCTATTGAAGGGCTTTGAGATGGGAGGATCTTAGTGCGATGTGTACTTCCGTTGACGATGGTGGCCTTCCGGAATAAGACCCCGCAGTTACCAACTTTTCGAAGGCCCTGAACATGGATTCAGTGTTTCTCCTCCAGAAGACCACCGTGGACATCGAAGTCCTTACTGCCGCACGACGCACTTACCTTGTTCCTCCGCGTCGTCCAAGTGGACGTGTTCCTGCATAGGGCTGGTACTGCGACCTGTCACACTGTGCCGGATGTGTGCAAGGTGAATAGCCAAGAGTCGACCTGATCGCTGAGAAACTGCTCTGGTCTCGAATTCAGCTCTGGACAGTTCCAGCAACTCAGCACCGGAACTAGGAAACTTGTCAGGGTCTGGTTCAGGACTCAGATTAAATTGTCGTGCTGACCATTTCAGCCATGACTTTACATGACCTGCGTTCCATTCAGCGGGGTCTGTGGGCAGCAGTATAAAAACAAGTTTCGTTTTGGGTACAAAAAAATTAATTAATTATTTTTAAAGCAAACAAATATATCCTGTGCCCTAGGTAATGTAGCGTCTTTAGTAGTCTTAAAACTTTGCATACCGTGTAGTGTATTAGAATATCAAACAATCAAACAAACTATTAACACTAGTGTCTTTTTTATAGTGTTAATAGTTTGTTTGTTTGCTTATTTTATATTTGTCTTCAGTAGGCTACTTATTACAAACGTAGGCTTATATTTTATTCCTGAAAGTAATTTTGAGTGTGACTGTGGTCTTCTGAGCTGTGACATCTTGTAATCTTGTCCCCAAATCCAACTAAAATCTGATCATCAGAAAATAAAGGAGTATTTAGGCCTATAGGCCTAGATTTACATTTGGAGGCCTATAGCAGTCTTTAAATATTTCTTTCTGCAATTTTGTACCAGCATCTTTAACATATTTTAATTGAAAAAGTTTGTTGTTCTATGAGTAGGTCCTAACTTAGTGTTCTAATACGACCATTGAAATAAATATTATTCTTGCTACTTTGTAGGGTACGTCATGAATTTTGCTGTGTTTCTTGTCTCCGTTAGACATAATTAGTTTCAGGAAATCGGGAAGTTTCTGTGGTCTGTCCTTTACTGTGCACCGTCACAGCCACTGAAGCACACAATTTGCACAACGTTGGGAAATTCTGATATCATAAGGAACCGATAATAAGAATGACTAATAGATCATTCGTGATCCGCTCAGAGAAAGTAATTCTCGGAAACCGACTTACGCCATAATCTGAGTCACAAACGGTTTTGCAAATCTGATCATCTCTGCCGACTAAATAATCTGTAGGATCAATATGCAAATTCTGTGGGTGGTAAAGAAGAAGATGCCTCTTAAAACTGCTAGTACCTTTTCATTATCATCACAATTTCGTGGTATTTGAGTGCTTTTGCATAGCTCAGAGGCAAGCTGGCCTATGCGGGCGTACAAAATTAGCTCAATTACAGACGGATTGTGTCAGAAAAAAATCTTAGAATTAGTATGATGTCATACTCACAAAAAAACCTTAAAAAATTTATTAAGCCCTGTGAAGGTATACCTACATATGCCTACATATAAAATTTATCACCCTGATGCCAAACAAGGTCTCGGTAGTCAATCTACTTTCCACTTGCTTTTGTTATAGATATCTGAGCTTGGATCAGAACCCCACACACAAATCTTTGTTTCCAGCATGGAGCTGGAATGCTGTTACGTAATCTTACTTCTCGGTAACGTTTAAGCCTGTATTAGGGTCAGACATTGGAATAGGCTGTTGTACCTATTGGTATAGCAGAGCTAAGCAAGAATTCTTTAGCACTGGAATAGGCTGTTGTAGCTATTGCTATAGCAGAGCTAAGCAAGAATTCTTTAAATTTTACTAGTCTACTTGTGGCTTAGGCTGTCATGACTTGCGATCAAATACACGTCTCAGTAATATCAGTGTATTTATGATACAGTCTGGTATCCGTAAGAAATATCGTTACTGCCCGCGATAACAACTCAGTTCTTACCAGTATAATATGGGATAATGCGCGTGTTAAAATTTCTTTTGTTGTTTAATGTTTTGAAAAAAAAAGTTATTTTATATAAATGTGGGAATAAAAATCAGACGAATTTGAAACGTGGTCTCTTGGACTGCATTTGAACTTACTGACGTCGTGTGTGTGTCTTACTCACCTGATGGAACGAACACCGTGTCTTCGTCCGGATCATTGGCATTATCCTCAACGTCCTCATCTCCCGTGGCAACTTCACCTGTAGAAGATGTTTCCATGCCTGACTTCACGTGGTTTTCGGAACTAGTGTGGTAACCACTTTCCTCCGATATACCTCGCTGCACTTCCCTAATATGGTTACTGGTACGTTTCGATATTCGACACTTTGCCTTCGATCCACAGTCTTTTTCTGTCGATGCTGAGACAGTCGAAGGCGATACCTCTTTAACACACTGTTCGGTGTTACGTTCCTCGCACACCTTCGAACTTTCTTCGTCGTTCTGTTTTTCTGCATCCTCCGACATAATTTCTTCTCCATTAACGCTAATAACACTTTCTGCATCACTTTTAGATGGAGAATCTCCAAGTATTTCACGGTTTCGCTCTTCATTATCGTGAGGTTGAAATTGTGTGATGTCACTCGCCGGTGGAGACAGCATAAAGTCCATGCTTCCATTCTTAAACTCGCTTTGCAGATCCTCCTCAACAATTGTAACAGCGGTATCGCACGAATTGACGGAGTCCGGGGAACCGAAGAGAAATCTGCAAAGTAAGGCTGGAAGGTCTTCAGGTGTTGCCTCGGGAGAGGACGGAAGCTCACTGTCGACTTCACCGAACAACTGTTTTGCTGTCGATTCACAATTCCGGTTATCGCCATGGGGAAAAACGGAATCCTGATTCGTCGGAGGTCGTGGAATAGACGCTGGTCCACTCACGAAATTATCAACACGCGGTGATGAATGTTGATTCGTTGTGCGTGACACAAGGAATGACGAAGTTTTATTCCCACTAAAATGAGTCGGCCGTAGTTCAATTTCTGTCGTGGATGATGAATTGTGTTGGCCTGTTAAGTCTTCTGATGATGACGAACTACTCCTAGGAAGTAACGGGTCATGACTCGATGTAGTGTTCACACACGGTAATCCATTCACGCTATTCGCTGAACCCACAATACCCACATTTTTACCGGGATCTTGGAACTGCGATAGCAATCCTCTGGCTACCAGATAAGCAGCAGCAGCAGATGTAGCAGTTTTTCGAAGATCAAACAGCGTTTGTGTTGGCTGAACTCCAGTACCAACACGTACTGATAAATTCTCACTTCCTGCTTTACCGCTCAGTAATATACATGAGTCTTCGGGTTGCCTAACACAATTCTCGTTACGTATAACGTCACTGGATTCGTCAGTATCCCGTCGCTGATGACTAATGATTTCAACATCGGTAGCTGACGGTCGAGAGTCTCGTATCTGATGCACGCTGCCTCCACATAGCTTCAAGGAAATGCTGTTGTTCCGCCGGTTGATACAGCCTAGGGTCTGATGCTGGTCCATCGCATTGGGTCTGGGCGAGATGAGAACTGGTAATGCTAAAGAAGACGAATGAGTGGGCACTGAGCCAACCCACGCCTCTGATCGCGGTGAAGCAGACATGATTCTCGGAGTAGAACAACAAAATCATCACCGACGTATCATTTTCCTAAGAATTCTGACTCCTTCGCGCCTTACCCGTTCGCTTCAAGATCTTGTTTTGTTTTTTTAATGAATACGAAGCGTAAACCTTGCTTCATATTCATGAATGAACGGACTTGTTTCGTGTCCTGTGTTCATCACCGCGGAGAAAAGCCAACATTTCCGTCGGTTTAACAACAACGCACAGTTACTACACTCGTACTAAGGAATGAATCTAAGGAGATGATGATTTTAAGGATACATTTCCAGCGGAAAGTTCTTTTTCTTGTCCTTTTTTTTTCCTTTTTGTTATCCCACCACTTGCTTTTCTGTGCTTCCTTGTGGTCGTCTGTGACTGGTTTAAATTAAGCACAGTAGGTGGAGCTGCAAACAGCAGGGAAGGAAAAGTAAAGATTAAATCGAAAAGACCACGATGAAAAACATAAAACAATTGTATTTTTTCATCTACAACTAATAGCTGGTGTAAATTTGCAACCACGACAAAAACATTAATTTTATAAAACATTTTACAAGGGCATAAATTCAAAACTGAAAGTAATAGGTCCTAAAATAGCTTCTGGAGTGCGTGTACAGTCCACGTTGTTAGTGACGTAATATGCTTCAAAACCCGTTTAGCAGTAACAAAATAAAAACAAAGGTTCTTCAGTGCTTGTGTGACGTAATAATATCTAACGCTACCCGAGAGAGACTCAACCAGCTACGTTGGCGTTACGTGTTGTGTTACGTCTAGCGGCCATGTTGTGGTGCGTGTTTGTATAGGGTATCTATCCTAACGAAACTCTTCGAAATAATAAAAAAAGAAGTTTTCGTCTTCTCTCATGATTGGATAAATGAGTAAAGAGGGGGTGGTACTCCTGTCAAGCAATAAAGTATTAGTTTGCGGACTATCTTGAAGTCTTACTCTTCAGGAAATCCAAATTTTTACACGAATATAAATTCCCAACTCGTACGTAAGCAGCTGAAAAACATTTTTTTCTGAACCTTCATACATTTACATCATATAATAATATATACAGCCATAAATTACATATTTTCAATTTAAAATGGAAAACTGTGACAAATTTAGGACGCCGTGTAACGTATTTCCGAAGGGGGTTGCAGGTAACGTTGCCTCATTCCATAAAACCTTTTGGGGAGGGGGGAGTGTTGGAGGTACAGCCCCCGTGCTTACACCTACCCTCAGTACTGGATGGTGGTGAAGACGAATTACGAATTAACTAAAGTAATTAAGAAATTAGTCACCTGATATGGACTGACTTATTATTTTTATTTAGTGTTCTGTCTGACGACAGGTCCATATGAACAGGATCCTTCCATCCTTTTCTCGGACTGGGACCTGTTCATATACGTTCTTGGCAGATGATCCAGAAGTGGTTTGCCATTGCCTTCTTCTGTGTGTGAATGGAGTAATTGTTGGGATGCCACGGAGGAAAACTCCGTGTTGCCTAGACCACGGCCTTGCCCAACACAAGTTATAAATTCGGGCACCGCCGGGAATCAAACCCGAGACCCCAGGATTACAAGGCCAGCGTTCTAACCGCTAGACCACCGTGGCTGATGGACTGACTAACCGACGTATTTATGTTAGATCTTGAATACTTAACCTCATAACACAAGAATTCGCCATTGGTTCGTGTAATTATCAATATTCATACAGTTCATTTTGCCACAGTATTAGCACAGTGTTTCTTCATCAACATTTTGTATGAGATTTTTGTTTACCCTCCGAAATGTATGTAAGACCTCCTTCCATGCCAATAATTTTGCATGAAATATAGACAATTAAGTAGCAGAGGTCGTCGTTACATAGACTTGATTCTTCTCTCGCTCGGCGTTCCAAGAATGATTCATTGTGACGTAAGCAGGCCATGCAGATTTTGTCTGCATTTTTTTACATAACCTCAAAGTAGATATGGGCTGGATTTTACTTTATCGAAGATACCATACAGTACGTATCAAGAAGTAGCATCACGTCATATGAGAAACTTTGTGCGTTCTAGAATACATTAATTTACCAGTACTTAATGGATAGTAAGCAAACACGGACTTACAAAATGGTATAGACATGTGTACTTTCAAGAAAGTGGAACGACATTCCATTACTGAGGTTCGATGTGAACGCCATGCTACCGAAGGTGGCCTTAAAACCACTATATTTAAATTCCTTCAAAATGGCTTCCCTCTAACATTTTCATACTGTAGAATAAGTTTCAGAATTTAAAAAGAAGTTCTAAAGCCTTTTATCATGAATTTAAAATATATAGGCCTTTTATTCTTTAATAAAATAGTTTTCTTTTTTTTTACGATCGATGGTTAGTTAGTATTCCTACTGCGGATTCGAGAGGTCACTGTTGTAGGTCTCGCTGAGAGGCTTGCTACCCGGACGACTGAGTTTCTCCGTGGTTTCCATCCGTTTCTATAAGCAGATTCCGGATTATAATCTTAAATACCACAGGTATTTTCTTTCCTTTCCATCTAGCTCTTCATGCATTTCTAACACAATTATTTAAAACTTGCTGAGGTATAACATTCTAGTTTAAAAAAAGTATTGACTATTTCTTGATCCGTGACAATAAATCTAATGTTATTACTAGGCGTGGAAACCTAGACGATAACATGGTAAAATATTTAAATATTTTAATCATGCGAACTTATAGGCCTAAATAATTCTATACTAAATATGCTATTAGAGATTAGTAAGCTAGGCTTTTGTTATGACTGATTTCATTCAGGTTACTTTAATCCTCTCAGAAAAAAAGATAAAATGGCCTTTTCAATTTGTCTAAGTACTTTTCAGTTCAAAAGACAAAGTCTTATAGATAACGTACTGACAGAGTTCATTTTTCCAAACTTTTCGAAAGTTGGATTCATAACTTGTGACGAAGCAGTCCAGACTTAACATAAATTGACAACGTATCGCAGTGTCTCATAGTCTGGGATCGCAGGTTGCCGACCTTTCAAATGAATCACAGACTTCATTCTTGCATGTGTCATACAAGCCTATTACCCTATTTGGTACTCCAGTCTACTGAACCAACACGAAGGTCTCGAAAAAAGATTCTTGCCCCTAAAGTAAATACGTTTTAGCAGGGATTGCAAACATGCTGCCGGTACATACAGCGTGTTAAAGAAAGTCTTCACAGTTGATACGTAGTTGCAAGTCTACAACATGCAGAGATCGGCAACATGGTTATCTTTGAATAAAAATTTTCTTGGATATTATCCATCGTCTAGTAAATATAAAACGTAAAACGACGTTTCGGAGATGGGACTCTATCTCCGTCTTCAGGTTCCTAAACAGTTGGGCCCACTGCTTCACCATCGTCAAGAAGTTTTAGATTTGATATGGTTATCTTTGTCTAGGTTGGTAGCAAGGATTATTGACAGGTGAAATTTGACATAAGTTTAATGCAAAATGGTATTGTGTCTAATAATTTTTGAAAGGTAAATATTTTGTTTTATCTTGAACATTCTTTGTAAAGATAAGTAACACTGAACACAACAAAATCATTCCGATGTAATAATATACGTTTTAGTAATACACGCATTTCCTGCTTTCTTATTTTATTAAACAACATCTCAAAGAATTGAACACAGAATTGTGATATAAAATAATTCCATGGAGCAGAACCCTTATTGAGAAGCTAATAGTCGCTCAGATAGCCCAACATTTTCCCGTCAATTACGGAACACGAAAATTTACAAATTGTCTTAACAAGTGGTCGCCAATGGATCTTAAACTGAGCCAGTCGCATTTAGCCGAAAATTCATTTCATGGCCTTTAAGATTCACTTTAATGTCAGCATGTTTTCTAGACCTCCCTCTAGATTTACCAAGTGGTATATTAACTCCGGGTCTTATGAATACAATTTTACACTCAATTATTTTATTTTTCATGCCTGCTATATTCATCGTCGTAATTTATTTATTTATTTGATAATATTTCTAATATTTTGTCTGGAGTAATAAAATATAGACATAGGATTGTATCATAGTTTCGTTGAGTTTGCTATAGTAGCCTTATTCTGATAATCTTCTTCCCCAATATCTTTCATGAGTGTTTGGACATGCTGTGCAGGGAAGAAACAAACGGATTTTTATTTCGTAGTGAAAGGTGTTTGTTCTCATTTTGAAGAAGGAAGATTTAACCTTTTGTGAAAGCTAAATACTTCGCTGAGATGAAACCACAGAAATAAGCAACATCCAACGAAGGAGTGGCTCACGGCAAAAGACTATAACTGGCACTCCTCCTGTTTGATATGTCTGAAATGATGTTATCTAGGAAAGGTACATAAATAAATAAAGATGTAAAAGTTCCATCCATTGCATATATATTTAAATGATTAACTTACAATTCGGAGAAGTATTCCATTTTAAAAATACAATTTTTTTTGCAAATATTATTAAGGCCTACTAGATTTTATTTTAAAATCACGTTAACTAATAAAATTACAAGATGATAGAGTTGCGTCATATTGTGAAAATATATATTTAATTAATTAATCTTGTCCGTCTAATCACAATTTAATTTAAAATTAAGATAATTAAAATACCATGTGATGCTCCTTATCGAAATATTCGATTTACATTTGGAACATCACTTTCTCACGAAGTGATGTTCCAAATGTAAATTAATTAATTAAATAATTAAATTACCTCCATGATCCTAAGTCATCCAGCTGTCCAAGAAATTCTCCTCAAAAATAAGAAAAGATTTCCTGCATCTACCGACGAGAGTTTTATCATATTCCTATGATGTGTTCGGTCGTCATCTAGGTTGGAGCTACGTACGCGCTCGCATATCATTGCGTTCTAGCGAGAAAATGAAACAGTACATTTTGTCGGTCTTCTCTAAAAATCGACCAAAAATAAGCCTATGACTACATGATTCTGGTCACTATTGGAGTATAAACTGGCACCCACTAGAAACGTGCTTTGTAGAACTGCAATTAACCTACACTCGAAGATAAAAATGAATAAATAAATAAATATAGTAGACCTAAACGAAATAAAATTCAACATTTTAGAGGTTGTTCCGCACATTTTGTTAAAATAGTCCAAAGCAACACAAAACTGAACTCACCTAAAATAATCAACCTTAAGATAAGAACTAATCCAATCGAAACTAATCTCACCTAAAATAATCAACCTTAAGATAACAGAAGGAAAAATTATCATACCTATATATAAACGAACGCCCATAAACC